CTTTATGAATTCTCAAAATTGCTTTATGCATCGATCATATACATATATTAAATTTATTTCTAAATATGGTAGACCTAATAAGAAACGTCTACACATATTTGCAGTACAACGTTATGAAGCGTGAAGCCAAACGTTGTGTAGCGTGCTCGTGTCAGTCACGTGACTCGCATTTACCCACAAAAAACTGAGTTAGGATACAGAAACCAACCACTTCTTTCACAATGAGAGGTGCATGCTGTGCACTGAGGCCTCCCGCACATACAGGAGTGTCAGAGCTGTATCTCACAGTGGTCTATGAATTCGTACGCTAGCGTTATGGTTGCCAACTCCCTTTTCCCAATCATGTTACTTCACCACTAAGCTAGTACTACCTAGTCTTGGGTACGTACACGAACGAAATGCCCACTCGGCGGTCTGTTGTGGAGATAATCTCGTGCCGCGACCGGATATGGTCCACAGGGCCTGGGGGGTAAGTGTCCAGGAGGAGGAACAGAGCAGGGCCCTGTGGGTCTAAAAGGAGGGCCGTGAGGCGGTGGAGGTCCGAACGGCAGCGGTGGAGGCACCTGGCGAACAGGTTCACCCGGGCGATACATGTCTGTGTTCAAGAGGACACGTAACGCTGAATAAGAGAAGCTCTTTTCAACCCAGTGTGTGTTTAGGGTTTGCCGCTGCAATTCTCGCCGTCTGCAGCTTCCGCCGGAAAGACAACAAGTACACTTCCGGAGTAATCTTTTCAAAATACAGTCCACTATTTTTTGTTTTGGTCAGAGCTTAGACATTCACTAAATGTTTCAGACTATAACGTCATTTCCCAGTTTTCACCATAGGGATATTTAAATTATATACCCTGTATATAAACACAAAAATACTTGACAATATACAGCTCCTTAATTTAATGCAAGTTTTGTCTTGCATTAAATCAATGTCATGATGCAAGTAATTATTTTGTACTGTTATGGACATACTATGAATGTGTGAACCGCTTTGTTAGTAATTTATTTAGTGTACTTACTGCTGTGAACTTGTCTTGACGTGGCAAGTATTTACTAGGCTATATAATTGTGAATTGGTGTCGGTCGGGGGTTAGTGAGAGTATGTATTTCAAGTAGGAACCTCAAAACAGCTCCTTGAAGCTGGCTTCAGAAGCAGGTCAGTGCACAATTTTATGACGTCATTTTTAAAAACCGCCAGGAGAGGAAGTGGATTACTCTTTTCAAGTAACGAGTAGAGTATTACTATTGCAAAAACAGTAATTAGATTACCATTACTTTCCCGTAGGAACGCTGCGTTACTGCGTTACTAAAACCGTGATTTTTTTTGCGAGAATG